TCATCAAATGAGGAAGCTGACCAGATAATGATCTCACTTTATATGCTACAAACTTGGATTCTAAACTGTGTAACGTTAGAGCGCTTTTGAAAGCAGACATGGGGCTGGGGATTTAGCTCAGCGGCAAAGCGCCTGCCTGGCAAGCGCAAGGTTGTGAGTTTGATTCCTGGCATGGAAGAAAAGACAACAAACAAACAAACAAACAAACAAAGCAGACATGTTGTAAGAGCACGTGGAAGAAGTAATAAATGATAAATTTCCAAGTATACAATTAACATATAATTAATATATATAAGTTTTTCCCCTGCCTTCAATGCTCAGAATTGAACTCAGGCCCAGGCAAGCACTGTACCATGGAGGTACATGCCCAGCCCACAATAAGGGTTCTGCAACACTCAAGTTTTAAGCACATAAAGTACAAGAAGATTAGGAAAGATACCTGGGCTAAGTAAAAAGTGGAAATAAGTCTCGAATAAAAGGCAAACTTTTTTGTTTTTGGAAACTACAGTACAGCAGCTCCCAATGTCTTTGTTGTAAGAGATCAGTTTCATGGAGACAAGCGTCCATTGATAGGTGGGCGGGTGGGCTGGGGAGGGGTGGCTCTGTGATGATCCCTCGCAGGTTTAGCTCATAGGGACTGTGCTCCTCTGACGGGGGCTCAGCTCAGGCGGTAATGTGAGCCCTGGGAGGAACGATGGGGAGTGGCTGCGAACACTCCAGGGAAGCTTGCTGGATGGCCTGCTGTTCACTTCCTGCTGTGTGGCCCAGTTCCTAACAGGCCATGGATGGGTACCGGCCTGTGGCTCAAGGGTTCGGGGCCTGTGCAAGCAGATGTCAGCCAGGAACCTTTCTCTGAGAGTTAAACTTCGGAATTAGCAAAAACTAAAGTAGAAAGAAAGAGGCAAGGAAGCAAGGGTCATAACGGCTTCAAAGCTGGTCAGCCAAGACAGAGTATGTGATGACTGCAGGTGTGAATCAATCAGAGAAAATGTTACCCAGGTGATGCTGACAGGAGGGCAGTCCGTGAAAAACATACATGTGGACAGTGCTTGTGTCCAGGATAGAAAGACCCGAGCCAAGACAAGTTCCAGGGGCAGCTGTTGCGGTACTGTGGATATAGGCACTGGATTCACTCATGCCCTGATTCCATGCTGGTACCCCAGGTTCCTTCCCTCCAGGGAGAGGAATGCACTGACTGGAGGGTGTTCGTGTCCTGTCCTGTCCTGTCCGCATTTACATATCTTAGTTTAAATGAATAAAGTATCACTCTGATTATAAGCTGGTTTATACTGAGGTTTGCTTATAAAGAGAGAACCTGGTTAACCAGCGGAAACTGGCATTTAGTGCCCTTCACAATCAGTCTGTGTTGTAAACTGCTATTTGTATAAGCTAGGTTTGGAGAATGTAGTTGATATAAGTTCACCTTTCTAAAATGGATCTTGTCTTGTTTCTTAGCTTGCAAGGCTAAGAGCAAGGATCTGGCTCATAACAACACCATCACTCCCATCACTCATCAGGGACCCATGCATCAGCAGTCCTCTACCAAACCGCTGCTGCACACAACCTTTGCTACAGCCATCTTCTCCACTGCCATTTCACATAAGGTATAACTGTGAAGAGGAACAGACTCCAAATGATGGTAACCGGTTACGATTTATTACAGGGACACTTTCTAAAGCTCTAAGTCCAGTTTGCTTTTTCAGCTACAGTGATCACTTAAATGTTGACTAATACAGGAAAATTACTGGAAATAAAATAGAAAACAGCACTAGAGTTTAGTTTTTTCTTTTGAGACAGGGTCTCAACTGTGTCAGCCTGGCCTCGAACTTGCAGCAATCCTCCTGCCTCAGCTTCGTAAGTGCTGAGATTACAGATGTGTACCCTCATGCCCAGCTGGTATTTGAAATTGTAGGAGAAGTTCTAACTGTCACATTTTAAGACCAGAAGTATATAATGCAGGAATTATTAAAATTCTAATTTTAAGGTAAATCATGACTCAAAGAAGTTGTAACTTGCCCAAAGTTGCAAAAGTTAAGTGGCATGAACCGTTTTGTCCGTCACTGTAATAGCAGACAACAGATAAAGGCAGTTAATAGGAGGCTATAAGACTAGTTCACTGAAGAAGTGACAGCTGGAAGCAAAGCACAAAGCAGCAGATAATTAGAAAATCGGAGCAGCTGAGCCTTTCATTACAGCCTCGAACAGCACTATAAACTTTAACAGCTCCTAAGGGTATCTCAGCATCGTAATTTTAAACACTCTTTAAAGATAAAAGCTGCCTAATTAGAGCAGGATGTGTTTCTTGAAATCGATCAACTTGCTATTTCTCAACACTTCCAAGGTTGTCTTGATTATCCAATGTCATACATTCGTGTTTCTCTTCCAGATCAGATGTATTATACTGGCACGGTGTAATATACACACTGAAAAATCTGAGGGTTCTCATATACTGAACAGTTTGCTCTACAGAGTCTGGACAGCTGTGTCCAAGTCCTGGGTCTGTAACTGGGTCAAGATGTGACCACTGACACATCATTCACCTCTCCGAAACCTAGTTTCCTCATTTGTAAAGTGAGGGTTGGCTGTATCTACTACAGCACTACCTGTAACGTTTTATGTATTAGGTCATATTTGATTTGTTCTGTTTATGAAGACAGGGAACTTGTTTTTTTAAAGACTGAAACTTAAGGGGCTGGGGATTTAGCTCAGTGGCACAGCACCTGCCTGGCGAGCGCAAAGTCATGAGTTTGATTCCTGGTACCGGGAAAAAAACAAAAAAAAAGAAATTTAAAAATGATTAAAAATCTGGGGCATGGTAAATTTTTTAATTAGTCTGAAAATGCCTTGCAGTGAGACATTTCATTTGATGTTGTAGATATTTCATATCATAAACATGACGTTGATAAACAGGCTGGGCATGGTGTTGCAAACCTATAACCCCAGCATGCTGAGAGGCTGAGGCAGTAGGATCACAAATTTGAATGCTGCCTGGGCAACTTAGTGAGACCCTATCCCAAAGAATAAAAACTAAAAAAGGGCTACGGTTGGAGTTCAGTGCAAAGGCCTATGGTTCAATCCCCAGTACCACCAAAAACAACAAAAAAAATACATTAATGAAAACAGTTAATGGAGGATTTACAATTATTCTCAAGGCAAAAATATTTGGGGTAAGTTTTACAACTCTGAGTTTGCATGCAGACCACTTTAAAAATGGACTGGTTTTGGCCTATGTTACAAAAATGTACAGTATATACAAAAACCAAGTCTCTTTCTCAAAAAGTGAATGGCCTACTTTTGCTTATACAAGTTGAGCATCCCTAGTCTGAAAATATGAAACCCAAAATGCTCTGAAACCTAAAACTTCAAGGTCCACATGATGCCACCTGCACCCGACTTCTTAGGGTGGGCGGGCTGAAGTGTAGGTGCACTAAACACAATGCATAAAAATTACCTTCAGTATAAGCACGTAAGTTGTACACGAAACAAAGGAATGTCCATACTTGAGTCCCATCCCCAAGCTCTCTCAGTATGAATACACAAACACTCCCAAATCTAGAAATCTCCAAAATTTCGAACATTTTTTGGCCCCAAATTTCCTTCTTCCTTCCTTCTTCCCTCCCTCTCCTTCTTTCTCTGTGCTAGAGATCAAAACCTGGGCCTTGGGCATGCTGGGCAAGAATTCTGGATAAGAGATACTTAATCTGTATACAGTAAAAATAAATTTCACACTCATACTGTTTATTTTGCTTACTGTAAGATGTGAATGTTTCTGAGAATTAATTATTTTACTGATTCTCTCAAAATGAACTGTGCTATAAGGACTGTTAATGGATCTGTGCCATTAATTCATCATGTGATTTCTAATCTTAAATTCGTTTCCTAACATACATACCAAGCTACTTCATTTTCCACAGTTAACAATGAGTACTGATGTGCCAAACACTACCCTAAGTATTTATACGCATTAAACTGTTTTAATTCTATGAATTCAAAACTGCTACTATTCTCACTTTATAAGTGAGAAAACTGAAGTAGATGCTTTAGGTAATCTGCCCAACATGGCTTCAGGTTTAAGTAGTGAAGTAAGAATTCAAATCGAAGTGGTTTGATCTAGTCTGTGCTCTACAACACCCTGAATGGGATGGAACTCTGGCCTCAAACATACTAGGTAAGTGCTCTACTGCTGAGCTATGCTTTCCCCCAGCTGTAGTCTGAGGACAAAGAGATACATCCTGTACATAACCCTGGTGTCTAGACAATTGTTCCAGGTGGTACATTCCTACCATACAGAAAGTACTCAGCTTTCTACAGAGTTTAATTTGCAGCTTATAAAAATAATCAAATCAGAAACGGGCAGCAAATCACAGGAAACAGGTTTCTATTAACTTAAATGCAGACATCTCCATATAAATTACTTTATTTCTAGTGGCAGAAGGGGAGATATAGGTTAGAGTGTCAGGGGTGGTCAGGAACATGGGACATTAAGATTAAAAGTCAGAGGCCTTTTATTTCTGATTTATTCTATTTTGAAAAACTATTACTCATACTTTTACTCACAGAAATGGCTTTGAGGCTGGGCGTGGCAGCACACGCCTATGATCCTACCGCTCGGGACTCAGGAGGATTGAGGATCATTGCAAGTTCGAGACCAGCCTGGGCTACAAAGCGAGCTCAAGGCCAGCCTGAACTGCATAGCGAGACCCTATCTCAAAAACAAAAACAAAAACAAAAACAAAAACAAAAACAACAAATGGCTTTGAGAAACTACCTTAAAACAAGTTAGAGGGACAAATATTAAACTCTCATCAAAAGGAAGTGTCTAGAGTAAACAGGGAACTACAGTGTTCTCTTAGGTAATCTCAGTTTTCACAGACAGAGATTAAAGTTTAAACTAGCTAACAATAGAAAACAAGATATACTGATGTAAACATGTAATTTTTTAAAAGAAGCCAATTTTCCCAATAGTTTCACAACTTAATATATTTTACATCACTACTTACAGTGCACTTTCCGTATCTGCTATATTTTCTTCCATTTTCTGAAACTACATAGAGGTAAATGAAGTTGTCATGAGATCCTACAGCCAAGAAGGTACCATCTAGAATGAAACAGGAAAAAGTGTTGACTAGAGAAATAAGCTGACAGATTTCCTGCTGGTTTATCGGATCTATACTGATATTCTGCAAATGTTAAATCTCATCAGTGTAACTGTTACTTGGCATCTGATGAACAAATCTCATCACTAAGCACATCTGAAAACCAAACAACTAGTCCAACACAGCATCCCTCTTGTAGATGCTCACAGGCCTTGGAGTCTATCTACCTTTGCCTCCTTCTAGTTAGCTAAAAACCGGCCAAAGAGAGGTTACTGTGCCTTTATGAGTGGCGATACAGTGTTTACATGGCAAGCAGAGTGTACAGCTGCTTAATTCAGCCAACACACATGATTCCTCCAATTATGGGGCAGGTCATCTCGGAAAGGGGCAGTGTTCTCTTCTTTTACGGTTTCCTCCATTGTATCTACCACAGCCCTAAGCACAGAGCAAATAGTAATGACGTCCACCAACCTTTAGATTTTAATAGCTGTACCTGTAATGGTTATTTGTTACTACAGCACTGAAAACAAATTAATAGGACCGAGGAGACAGCTCAGTGGCACAGCACCTGCCTGGCAAGTGCAAGGTCCTGCGTTTGATTAAGTACCCCAAACCCCCCAAAACCAAGAAACAATTTAACAAGAACAAAACAGAACACGACTTTCTAGGTTTATAGCATGAAATACATTTTCTGCCCTTGTTTGATTCAGAGAATAGCATTCTGTGCTTCCTTTAAAACAAGCAATGAAAAAAATCCTTTGGATATTGATCCAACAATGACTAGAATATATTTTCAAATACAAGAAAATACCAGATTAAGTAAGAATAGTCTAAATCAAAACCACAATAATAATGGGAAAAAGCAACTAGAATATTACTATGGAAATGTAGTTAACATTCTGAATGAAGTATAGTACCAAGAATCACTCAGAACACGAGTTATCATTTTGTTATAATGAATTACTGCCAGGGATGTAGCTCAGCGGCACAGTGCCTGCCTGGCAAGCTCAAGGTCCTGAGTTCAATTCCTGTACCCGTCCCAAAAGAACTGTTCAGTATTATATCTAATTAAGAGCCAATCATTACTATATAACCAGTAATAATATTACTGAGTTCTAAAGGACTTGAATATTTGTGGCTTGTATTTGTATATTTTGAATATTATAATAATTTTTTTATACTCTAAAGTATGAAAAGGTTATTAACTAGATATAATAATCCAGTTTAATACCTATTCAAAATTCTAAGTATGTATAGTAGAAAAGGGGATTTGATTGTACTTTATTCAGTCTTTAGTTGTAAATACAACTGTAACAGTTCATTCTAGGTTTGCTGATGATTTATTGTTTAACTTCAGCGATTTTTTGCAGTTTCCAGCAGTGGAATTTAATTTGATGTTTGGGACACCAATCTGATATTTAACTTTACAAAGCAGAGAAGAAAGGAGTCCGCGTTATCAGAAGTAAAAATACGCAATTACAGTGAAGTGCGGGGACCGCCGGGATGGGATCTGTGCCTACCTACTGAATAGCGCATCACAGAGAGCTGCTCATTCCCGTCCGTGTGGATAGAAACTAGATCTCTGGTTTCCGCATCCAGAACAAACCACCTGTAAGTAAAAATCAAAAATTCCTTCATATATTAGCACTTATAGAAAAAAAGTTTCCTTTTTGTCCATTTTTAATTAAAAAAAAAGCCAGCAACTATTTTTTAAGCATGACATGTTTCCTTTTTCTAATGAAGGAGAAATTCATTTTTTAAATGCAGCCACAATAGTATAAACACATTTATATGGTTCTGGTGTGGTGGTGCATGCGGTAATCCCAGCTACGCAGGAAGCTAAGGTATGAGAATCCTGAGTTTGAGGCCAGTCTGAGCAACTTAACCCCTGTCTCCAAATAAAAAAGGGCTGGGGGTGGGGGCATTAAATGAACCTAGCCATGTTCTCATTTCTATTTAGGTTTTCACTGTGTCTCTTTGCTAGTCAAGGTTACAGTAGAAAATAAGATGCCATGGGGAATGTTTTAGAGCTTTCAATGATACATTGTCTGCGCACTCATGCCATAAATTCGCCACCACCATTCCAGAGTATATACAGTAAGCAGAAGTCTGTTTTATGGTAATATGCAATTACTATAGGGCTCTGTTTGGCCTAAAGGACTTACTGGACCTTTCTAAATGTAATTGTTGGGTATAAAAAAATAGGAAATCTTTGACCATACATTTGTATCAATCTGATTTGTGAGCCAAGGACCAAAAGACAGTATCACAGATTGAATCCAGGGCCTTGTACATGAGCACTTCACCACTGAGCTACAACCCCAGACTTTATTATTTTGCGACAGGGTCTAGCTATTGCTGGGCTGACCTTGAACTTGTAATCCTTCTGCTGCAGCTTCCTGAGTAGCTGAACTGGGACTACTGCTTTACGCTGCCCTGTAGGCTTATCTTGGCAACTTTTTAATACAGTCACAATGTTTCTCTCTGCTGTTGGGAGGCTTGAACTGGTGGTATATGTATGAAAAGGTTATTAACTAGATATGTGGTATATGTAAGACGCGACAGTCTTGCATATACCACACTGGTGTTCAAGGCAGTGGTAGTGTGTTAAAGACACTAGATTAGCGGCCAAAAAGATTTGAGAGCTGGAAAGTACCTTGAAGTCCTTAAATGAATAGATCTCTTGTTCATGATGTCAAATTACAAGAATATACACCCATTATAATATAATAAAGTATCCTCTAGGGGGTAGGTTTGTAAACACCTCCTCTTTAGGGTTTTCTACTTATAAAAACAGGAATGCGGATTTTATAATTAGACAAGTGTAGAGTCGAAAATGGAGAAGAAAAGCCCAACTCAAGCCTCTTACTTTACAAGAATAGTGAGATACTGTGATAATCAAAACACCTGACTAGACATCTACCAACTCATCAGTGGCAGAAGCATGGCAGAGCTTCTGGTCTTTGTCCTTTTCACCACATCACACCAGGGAGGAGTGTGAGCCCACTGGAAGAACTCGTCTTTGAGATCACTAACATTTAGGGATCCTGAGAAGCAAAGAGACCAGGAAAGGAGCCTGGAGTTTATTGTGTGCGTGGGGAGATAGACTGAATTAAGTGCTAAGTAGCAGTTCAGAGTAACATGGGTAATAAGGACAACGAAGTGACACGGTAGGAGTCATCACAGGGTACGGGTGGCTAGGATTTTATCACATTGAATGTGTCAGGGATAGGCAGGAAATACATACATGGACAGGAGTAGGTAAGAAGCTATAAAAAAGGCAGGAATGTATATGAAGGACAACCTAACCATTCTAGGTGGGGTGGGGAGGCAAAGATTTAGTGAGCTTTTAGAAGCCAGATCCACAAATTTGGATCTTTTTGTTTAGGCATCAGAAAGCCTTTGGGAATGGTTGTAGCCCTGCTGGAATGGTTTGCTCAGTTTCCTGAGTATTCTTAGTCAGGTTCTTCGACTTGATATGAGCTCTTCTCTTTTCCCTGCCTCTGCAGTATCTAAGCCCCTTCAAGGCAGAAGGGAGTCCTCCCTACCCCCAGTCCTCCCTCTCTTTGAAGCTTTCTCTGACCACTCAGGTTCACAATAATTTCTGTTGATCTGTAAGAATTCCTGCCCCTCTATTTAAGTAATATTAAACCACTCAGAGGTTATCTCTCTATGTAGTGCTTAGATGATGATCTATTTGGAGTAGGGGCTATGCCTCTCTTTTTTGCTCTTTTTCTTGAGACAGGGTCTCACTATATATTTCAGGCTGGCTTTAACCTTTTTTTTTTCTTTTTTTCTTTTTTTTTTGTTTTTTCTCCGGTACCAGGAACCGAACTCACGACCTTGCGCTTGCCAGGCAGGCGCTTTGCCGCTGAGCTAAATCCCCAGCCCCCTTTTTTTCTTTTTTTGAGACAGGGTCTCACTATGTAAAGCAGGCTGGCCTTGAACTCATGGTGATCCTCCTGGCTCAGCCTCCTGAGTGCTGGGATTACAGGTATACACCACCATGCTCACCTCATACTTCTTTGTGACAGTTACTGCATCAATTACAGTGCTTTGTAGATGCAGGTGTGCTCCATAAAGTTTTGAAAAGTGACTCAGAATTGGAGTTCAAATAAGGCAGAACCTGGGGAGATTTATGCTGCTGGAGTTCAAAGACACTGTGGACCATGGGAAATTAACTCAGGAGTAGCCATGAGCCATGTTAATTAACACCAAATTACACAGGGAAAAATTTGTTTTCTTTTAATTAGTTTTCTCCTTTAATTATGTCTTAGCTATTGCTAATGCATCTTTGACACCTCCTTTTTGAACAGAAGGGACTTTTCTCAAGTTCAGAAGCTTCAGTCAGTGCTATCTGGTTGGAATCTGTCAACAGTATTTCAGCTCCATCCCTGGCCTGCCCAAGCTTGGGGCCACTACCAAAACTGATGAGTTGAGCTCAATCCCTGAAGTCTCCTTTGGGCTAGGGTTCTGCGAGTCCAAATAAACAACCAAGTTAAAATTCCTACCTGCCCCCTCACCAGGCTCACTTTCTACTGTTTCCTTGCAAAGCTATGGTTGTCACTATCACTTCTGCTCCTTCTCCTTCTTCCACCCCTGCGTGCTTCTATTTCCTAGGGTGACACAGTACGTTTCACATACTGATTCAGTGTGTTATATGCATATATGAACCTGCCAAGATGAAACCTAAACTGTATGGCCAATATACACTAAAGAAAAAAAAAAAAGAATATATCACAAAGTCTGTCATGAGTACCGAGTAGCTGGTACTTCTTGCTGCTGTTATTTCAATGACATTAACATTTGTGCCATCTGTTTAGATGGCAAATTACAGAAATGAACACCAGACCAGCACTGCAGCTTTGGTGGTTTCCTACGAGCTTAAATAAGACCAATTTTTTTTGTTAAAGAAGAAAACAACTTCTTTTGAATAAAATTCTACAAAGTGACCTATCATATGCCTCTACTTGGTCCAAGTCTGAATGTTTTAAAACCCTACAATAGTCTATTACTGACACATGAAAACCTGAGACAAAGCCTTATGCTTTGCTGCACTATATTTTGAAAAGGAATTTCAATGATTTCAGTTTTCAAAACCAAAGGGGAAAATGTGCTATAATAAAACTTCAAATGACTAAATTTAGAATTAAATGAATTAGTTGAAATATTTAAATAAACAGAATATGGTATTTATATGAATGTGTTCACAATGGCTTCACACCTACTAGAAATAAGCATTTCAGATTTTTTAAAGGAGCTTAATTTTTGTGAAAATTGACTTCATATTTTCTTCTCTGCTCCCTTAAAAAGGAAATTAAAATGCTTACTTTGGCCGTACATACACTAAAAAGGAAATTAAGTTATACATGGAGGGACTAGATACCAGCAAAAAATGTAAGTAGGTGTTCATTAAAAACACAAAGATAAGCCTGGCATGGTGGTGCATGCTTATAATTTCAACTGAGGCAGGAGGATAATCAGGAGTTAGAAGCCAGCCTGAACTATACAGCGAGTCCCTGTCTCAAAAAAACCCCAATCAACAAAAGATACAGATAGTATATGTTACTCAATTTAGCTATATAAGCTTCAAATACTTTCCCTGCACAAAGGACAGTGAGAAAATTTTTAATATTTCTAATTGCACAAAGGAGAGTCAAGTCTTCCATTATGTGCTCATGAAGATGGTCCTGACCACCGTTTCACCATTTTTGTAATTGTACCCCAACCCAATCCCCATTTCTAACCATTTTCCCTCCCCGCTTCCTATGCTGTTACATAATTAGTTATAATGCTCAGTTTTTACTTTGCTTCCCCTCCTCACACACATTAAAATGTGGGCTCTAGAAAGGCAGGAGTTTTGGTTTGCCCTCTGATAGATATATCCTGAAGGCCCACAGTAGGATGCAGTAAATGAAAGGCAGTGCTCAATAAACAACAACTGCTTGAGAATACATAACAGAGGACAGTGGCAAGCACATTAGTGTGCCACTTAAAAAGATTCTTCTCCAGGTTAGACTGAGAACATTCCTGAGGAACAATATAAACATCCCGCCAGTTCAGAGTACTCAGCTCGCGTGAAGACCCTACCTGCCTGAGTGCGTTCCTATGGCCACTACCGTGCCACTTGGATGGAAATCTGCACAGTGTCCTGGTTCCTAGAAGAGAGACAAGACAGCTGTTGGGGAGTACACGAGAAAGGCTCCCCATACCTATGGGGACAGTGGGAAAAACTGTTGTGAAAATAACTTATGTTGTATAAATACTGTACTACAGCCAATGAGAAACACTGTGTAGGAGAGCAGAGCCAACTTCAGAGCATGAAGAGGATGTGCTAGTGGCACAGAGAGGGAAGAGGAGAACTTGCTGCGGCCAGGCAGGGGGCCAGTGACAAGGGGAGTAACAACAAACAGTTCTTTGCAATCTGCAAAGAACTCTTATATACCTTTTGGGCTAGAAAAGGTGGTTAACTGGGTGTCGCAGGGAGAAAGTGCACTAAGAGACCACCCAAAAAAAGGGAGAACAGTTTGTCATTGAGCAGCACTTACTGACTCCAGCCCTCAACGCTACCAGAGGTCCAAACAGTAAATAAAAATGAGAAATCTTTATAATTTGTATTACAAAATAGAAAAATTGAGCTTCTACTGGGACTTAGCTTCCTTAAAGCAGGGTCATGTTATACCTTGAGACTTCCCCCTTACTCCTGCCTGCAACCAATGCTTTTCTTCCTCTGCTGCTTCTGACAGTGTGAACAGTGCGTGTGGGGAGATTACTTATGTCTGCTTTACTCACATCCAAGAGCCTGGTCCATTCCAGCCTATGCCCCACTGAGTGCCACATGCACACCTGCCTGTCCTGAGCACATGTCAAGAGCAAATCTTTGAAGGGATGTGTGGCAAGACCCCAGAGTTCATCTGTGTGCCCCTGGAAAACGAAAGACACCCATTACTATAAGGACCAAAGGGTAGCATCAAAATATGCATTTCATTGACATAATATAGTTTACCTGTACTTCTATTTGGAAGCCATCATTAAATGTTCCTCGTAAAATAAAGTTTCGTGATGTGCCTACTAAAAACTGATCTGCTTTTCCTTCTGCTACAGCTCTGATTGTGCCATACTGATCAGGGACCTAGAAAAAATAAACCTGAAAAGTTACCACGTCCACACCAACAAGCACTAATTACCAGCTGAACAATGGCTACCTTTATAGTGGTGAGCAATTACGGGATCATGAATGACAAAATTCTAAATCTGAAGACAACACAATAATCTTATACTGTTAGTTATTTGTTCAGATAATCAAATTTTATTACAGAGAAGTTATCATGCACTATTATCAATATTCTTTGCTTTAGGTCCTTTTTTTTTTTTTTCTAAGTGCTAAGGATCTAGCCCAGAGCCTCACACATGCTCTTACCACTGAACTATATTCCCAGACAGTTTCTGATAATTTTAAGTTTGTAGTTTATAAGATTTCAAGAGCTAAGGGTTAGAAATATGAAAAAAAAAAGGGGCTGGGGATTTAGCTCAGTGGCAAAGCGCCTGCCTTGCAAGCGCAAGGTCGTGAGTTCAGTTCCCGGCACCGGAGAAAAACCAAAAAAAAAAAAAAAAAAAGAGTAAGTTCTACTAGAGTACATGAAGAGTGGTCTATATTTGTTACTTATTAATTCTGTTATTTTGGGTAAGTCAATTAGCTTAAGAAAAAATACTTTATCTGAAATATGGTGTATATAGTAACACACGTCCTACCTACTCTTGATTATTTTAAGGGTCAGAACAAAAAATAATACATACAAAATTTCTTTGTAAACTACAAAACAATAGGCAGCTGGCCCTCTGTATCTGGGGATTCTGCACCTGAGGATTCAATTAACTTTCATCTGTATTGTACCTGTGCAGTCCACCCCTTGTCATTATTCTCTAACCAATACAGTAGCAATGACGATTTATACAGCATTTACACTGCAGTAGGTACTGTATGTATAAATGCATTAAAGCATCCAGCGGGATGTGCAAAAGTGATACCCAACTATTACACCATCTTATATAAGGGACTTGAATCTCCAGATTTTGGTATCTATGTGGTTGCAGTGAGTCCAGGACTTAACCCTCCTCTGTGGATATGGAGGATGATTGCATTTTAAAGAATTATAACTGCAATTAAGAGGACTCTTTGGGAATTCAACTGCATTTAGTGTACTACATGGTACACTTCGTGAATGTTATGTTAATAATTGTAACGATCCCAAAAAATGACTCTGAAATAATTCAGTTCTTTATGCAGTGGGGTCCAAAATGACTGGGGGCTGGGACTGTAGCTCCATCATGGAGTGCTTTCCTAGCATGTGAACAGCCCTCGGTTCAATGCCTAGCACTACAAAACAGTAAGACAAACAAAAAATCCTATACAATTCCAAAAAACACAACTGAACACAATTTTGTTAGAAATGGTGATGAAGGTGTGAACTAGTCTGTAGTTTGTGATTACACTGGATATGAGTTTTCTGTGAAAGAGAGAAACAGTAAATGAAGTGACATTTCCAATACGAAGTTAAGGTTGTTATAAAGCAGCTCTTTCTCCTTGGAAATAAAATCCAGAACAATACTATAAGGATCCTCTTCTTTACAGAAGACTTTGCCTGGAAAGCATGTTATGTTTACGAAAAAACACTAAGCACAGATTCAAAATTTAAATGAACAAAAAATAGAGGGAACATTAAATGACATTTGTCCTTGGTGTAAGAATCACTGATCTAAAATACTACTCTTGGGGGTTGGGGATTTAGCTCAGTGACACTGTGCCTGCTTGGCAAGCGCGAGGTCATGAGTTTGATTCCCAGCACTGGAAAAAAACCAAAATAAATTAAAAAGAAAAAAAATACTACTCTTAACTATTTGATCTCCTGAGACCTCAATTAACTAGCAAACTTCCACTGAGTACCCAATACTCATTGGGTCTCCTGCTCTACCTTTTCCATGCCACGGTGCGGACATCCACATACAAGCAGCAATAAGGCTGATGTTTAAAAGATTATTTTCAAGTTTTAAAACTAAAAGGATCATTTTGTATACCCTGGACTTGGACTTGAGTAGTGTTCAATGGCTTATTTTTCAAATTAAAGTTTGGATAGTTATAGTTTTGGATCACTATAAAAAGTCTCAGAAATGTAACGTAAGAACTGACTGTTTTAAAAAAATTCTTTTAAATTATTTTTTAAAAAAATTGTTTTTTAAAATAATTGAAATTATTTTGTGAAGCAACAAATTCTTTCCTGTGTGGGAAGAGTGAAATGACAAACATGTACAGTTTCCCTGAAAAGTTAAATCATCATAATGTGTGGCAAAATGACAATGATAGAATCTTTAAATATTTTTACTTAACATTTTCATCCTTACCTCTATTTCTCTTTCAGGATTCAGACCATGATCCCATAGAATTATTTTTCTGTCTTTTCCTCCTCCAGTTAATAAGGTCCCATTTCTCAGCTGACAAAGTGTGAATACACTGCCATCATGGGCTTTGATTTGTTTGCTAATTTGATACACACCTAATATGATAAGCAAAAAATAAAAACACCAGTGACAACACCTCATCAAACTAGTGTTTTTTAAAAAGAAATCTTTAGGAGAATTATAGTGTGAGCACTAAGAAGTTCATGGATTCAATAATCAGAAACCTATTTTCAGCAAGTTTTCTGCAAAGCAGGTAGTAAAGCTTAAGACTTACTACCACCATTTGCATATATGTCAGTGTTTACTCTGAAAATTTTTTCTTACAAAGAATAATAGTTCCACAGATAACAGCACATAACATGTATCTTAGCCTCAAACTTCACTGTAATCTCTTGTAACAGTTTTGTACAGTAGTTAGGGTGGTGTCTTGTACCCTCTTTTAATTATGGACCTGAGGATACAAGATATACTGGCGTAGCCAATACTACAGTTAGTTAATAAAGCTGGGAGCAAGACTCTAGTCTCCTACCTCACTCAATATTCCTGTAACTTTGTAAAAGAGCCTGCATTTCCTGTGCAGGTAATAGTGATAATATTTAACCTTTAGATCACTGTGGACCTGGAGTGCCCATTTAACCTACTAAGATATGGAGGACTGGGGAAGATATAGGGCAAAAGTGGACTGTAGGTGCTCCCAGGAGTGTCTACTGACCTACTAGCAAATAATTTTATTATTTTAAAAACTGATCAGGCTCTACCAACGTGATAGCCTGGTTTTCTTGAATGCCCACAGCATTTTACCAAGTACCCAAGGAAGGACAAAGTGGACACATAAAAATATTTTAATTAAAATTCATTGTAATAATTGACTCATTCCCTGTCATTCTCATTCTAAGTCAGACACCATTTCTTAAGGGTCAGGATAGTAAGATTACAGCAGTCAACCTTTTTCTTTCATCTCTGCGATGCTTACTCGGATAAGTTCTTTAGCTAGTGACTGAGGCTAGTACTGCAAGAGGAAAGCTTTTGGAAGACAATGCTTTGCAGAATTAGTGACCATGTTCAAAACAGGAAAGTAGAGCCTTACTTAAGTCAGGCCAAAGTAAGTCAAAAAGTAACCCTTAGATCCTTAGAAAAAGGAAAAATTCACAAGTTTAAAAATTATTCTTTTTCTAAAATTGTTGATGAATGGGTAAACAAAATGAGATATCCATAAAATAGAATACTATGCCATAACAAGGAACGAGGTACTAAACATATGCTACAAATTAAATGAACCTTGAAAACATGCTAAGTAAAAGGTGGCAGTTGGAAAAAAGTCACATACTGTGTGACTCTATGAAGTGTCCAGCATAGGCAAATTTAGAAAGCAGTGACAGCGAACCTTTTAGAGACTGAGTGCCCCAACTGCAAGCCAAAACTCACTTACTTATCAGAAAGTGTCAAGACTGCAATTAAACCTGCGTACTGGAAAAAAAAACCTCATACATTAACATCTTTTTTTTTTTAAGGTACTGTGAATTGAACTCAGGACCCTGTGCTTGCCAGGCAGGCACTTGTGCCGCTGAGCTATCTTCCCAGCCCCTAACATCTTCTGTCTTAAGAGAAAAACACCAAAACAGAGCTTTCAGTGGTACCAACAGCTTTTTATTGAAAGGTGGAAAGTTTGCACTTGGTGTGCTTTTCAAAATTAATGTGATCTTTGCTGTACGCATGCTGACGATCTGTCAGTCCTTGGCTGGGGCTACTTGGCTCTGTGTGCCCACTACGGCACGCGTGCTATAGGTTTAGCACCACTGCTACCGAGACTAGAAGTAGATTAGTGCTGCTAAGAGGAGGAGAGGATGGAAGAGAATGGGAAAGGATTACTGACAATTACTAATGCTACAAGGTTTCTTTTAGGGTGTGAAAATGTTCTAAAATTACAGTGGTGATGGTTGTACAACTCTGTGAATGTACTAAAAGTTACAGAATTGTACACCTCAACTAGGTGAATTTTGTGGTACGTGCATTATCCCAATAAAGCTGATTGATGTTGAGACTGTTCTTATTAACTTGTCTATTTGAGCTGTCATTATATTTAAAAAAATTATCTGTTTGCAAACATCTGTAATCCCAGCACTCAAGAGGTTGAGGAAAGAGGATCACCCTGAGTTTGAGGCCAGCATACACTACACAGTAAGTTCAAGGCCAGCCTGAACCACATAGCAATATCCTGTTTCAAAAACAAAACAAAGCAAAGCAAAACAAATCTGAAAGTTAGAGGGCTTGGCATCCTAAAAATAAATCAACTATAGCCGATTGTAAAAGTTACTCTATCTCAGCATGAAAACGTGGTACAAATACTGTATGGGTGTATTTGGCAGAAGAAAAGGGCTTAACTGATTCAGAGGAGAGCTTGCCTGATTCAGCAGAGATGAGAGCAGAACTCCCACAAACTTGCTGTTCAGGTCAAATGCTTCCACTCTCACCACCATTCATCACTTAAAAATACTTTAATCTTTGAACAATACAATATATCCACTGGGATTGGCACACAATTAACTATCACTGCTCTATGGTACCCAAGGGAGAAAGTGTATCTGAGAAAATTGAGTTTTCTGACAGTATAGGTGGTTGTATTTTGGTATTTAAGGGCAGGATGACTAGGTGTCTTTTCCCTTACATGGTCAAATTAAGAGTAACCTGAAAGCATCATTGTAAAAAATTACAAAACGTTGTTAAACATGTAAGATCACAAAGTAAAATCAAAGAACAAATGCTTCATCAGGAATCAAAATGATCTATATGGCCACCAACTCAGTAAGATGCCAACCACCCTCCCTTCACCTAGAAAAGTTCTTTCCTGAGGAAGACCTAATATTAATTTAGCTACAAAGTCACAGTGCTTCAAGTCTTAACAAATCACTGAAGTTCCCTTTATATAGTTCTTATCTACAAAATAAATTTATAGCCAAAGATTTCTTTCTTATGGGCCTATATTTCTGACATTCCAGTGTAGTCCAAATAATGTTTGAAATACCTACCAAGAAAAAGAATTACTACCTCCAGGCTTAACGCATAGCCAACTCTATGGAAGCTTAACTGCAGATTCTTCCCTTCCTTCTCATCTCTAACAGAAACAAGGCTGTTATGGTTTGTGTCTAGACGTCCCCCAAAGGCTCATGCAGTCATGGGGTGGGCTTCTATAGTCTGTGACTGATTCATGGTCTAATGCCGGGATTATGGGTATGAGTTCTACGCCCGCCCTGGGGTGGGTACCCTGCATATAATGTGAGGGAGTGGAAAAAGGCCTCTCTGGCGCCTGCCTTTTTGCTCTCTTGTCGTTTTCTGACTTCTGCTGCCGTGAAGTGTTGTCCCTCACCATGCCACCCTGCCTTGCAGTCAGCTGATTATGGACTTAAGCCTCCAGAAACTGTGAACTAAATAAACCTTTCCTTCCTTAATTTTGGGTGTCAGGTATTTTGTCCCAGCAAGGAGAGAAAAGTAACTAAGACAAAGGCTTCCATAAAAACAAGTTTACTTCACCTGACTAATGAAGATGTCTGCAGGGACTTCTGTGTCTATCCAACTACAGAAGTATCAAGGACAGGTTGATATTTAGGTCAGTCTTACCAACTGGGCTATCTATGATAATAATTATCTGGTGGGAAGGTAAAATATTAGTATTTTCTTAATTTTTTAGGGAACCTGAGAAAGATTTTTGAAGGGTAAACATTTTAACCCTTCAATGCTTGGTGTTCCATTTTTGGAGCATCCATAACAATGAAACATCATAATTTTTTTTCTTTAAATTCTTGTTTCTTCAATTTTTCTGGGTAATACATATGGATTTTATGCAAAAAGTAAAAAAAAAACTGTAATCTTTGGCAAGAATGGGTTAAAGGGACTACAGATAGTCTCGATTTCTGCTCCTCCCCTTACTTTGAAGATTTATGTTAAGTTACATAAATGTCATACTTGCGAATATGCAAAATGGATCAATCTACTAAAATTTTGGGACAAGAAATTGAAAATGGACACCTTTAGTATCTATTCTGATCTGTGCTTGCACATCATGTATTGCATGGTTCTCACCAAATCCTTCCTAACATGGGAAGGGCTTTACAGAATTGAATACTCCAAACATAAAGAGTCAAATTTCTTAGTGACTGTGCCCAAAAACAAGGCGGGTCGGTTACGTAGCAGGATACAACACAGACCGTTTCGTGTGCTCAGTACAGTAATTTATAAGATTGGGTTTCCTGCTTCCTGTTTGTACATATGCAGATATTCTGGGCACAGAGGCTAAGCTACATGTTTTTCACACAAAAGCCAAAATAAAACCCTGTGAATTTCTCTCTCCCTGCATTCACCTGAACACAAACATTAAGGTTAACAAAGAGTACATTCATAGCCAAACTGTTCTTGGTGTTAGAGGGTATGCCAACAATGTAAAAGTTACAGCTTTGATATACTACATTGCTCCTGGCCATTTCTAGCACTGAACAAATGCACCCAGGAAAGGCAAGAGACAAGTAAGTGGGAAGGTGCACGATAACTCTGTTGTTTTCACTCCAAGACCCCTTAACACCACTCTGTTCTTCTTGTATGTGAATCTTGACCCTAAGCTGAAAGAGATTAAAAGCACATACACAATAACTGGGCTCAAAGTCCATGGTAATACAGTTAAGGATTTAAAAAACAACAACAACAACAAAACCCAAGCCTCCCATATATTATCTAATTCAGATCAAGTGTCAAGGTTAGCAATTTAGGTGAATGGGCATGGAAAACAACTCAACAATCATATGTAGCTCTTAAAAAATACAGTATCAATATCTAACAACAAAACCATTCTGCTAAATTTAACTTCCACACTTCTGTGAAAAGTGCTTTTAATCAATACCACTCGACTTTTTATTGACACCCAAATTTCCTTAATAAAATGCTTGATGAATTATTTTCAAACCGTTCGTACAAAATGCCAAACCATGTGCTATCCTGGGAAAGTTTACTGAGGAAGACAGACAAGGAAACTAGGTCCTTTCTTCTGGGCAGAGGAACTCAGAGTATAGTACACAAGGACTCTACAGCGACGATGGTAAAGAGCTTCCTGAAATGAATAAACAAGAGAAACCAGGACCTGCTGCTCCACCAACCCCCAGGCTGGTGCCCCATCACTTCCCTCTCCTTCCCTCCCTCCCTGTTTGGTGTGGGAAGAGGGCTAAGAAAAAGGAGACTGAACTATACATTTACTCGAGTATTTTTCTCCTCTCTTTTCCCATCTTACCAATGGCCATGCCTTCTCCTACAGATATCCCAGCACCAGCCCTTTTGCAAAAGGAAAGGGGACTAAGGAATGGACAGGGGAGGCAGAGCAAGAGAAGGTGGTAGAAGAAGAATTAGGATGACTTATGTACATGTACAACTTCCCATGAGGACTGTAATCATTATGTACTGCAAACATGTACTAATAAAGAATTAAAATTGAAAAAACTTAACATGTACACATCTGTTATGGCTTATATCGAGGTGTCGCCTCCAAACCTCATGTGGTCACAATGGAGTTCTGAAGGTGGCTGGACTAGGGTGTGAACAAGGATTAACAGTGTGATACTAGGATTAAGTGTGTGGATAATGGAAGCACCATCCTGAGCACAGGTGGCGCCAATCAAGAGCCTCATAACCTGGATGGACTATAAAGGGACAGAAAGAAGGCAGGTCTGCTGCTGCAGCTGCTGCCTGCTGCCTTCTGCCTGCCACGACATGGATGGCTCCTCCTCTGTGATGCCCTTGTGCCATGCTGCCTTGCTTTGCAGCCAGCTGACTATGAATCAAAATCTCTACAAACTGAGCTGAAAGAAACCTTTCTCCCTTTAACTTGAAGGTGTCGGGTACTTTGTCTCAGTGACGAGAAAGTAACTAAGAATAGACCCCTAATTATTCTGTATTGGCAACTTAGAGGGAAGTTTAAGTATTGGCAATGTAGTTATACATGCTTAATAAGTAACTCGATAAATAACTTCATTCAAAAAAGATTACGAAGAACCATAAAAACAAAGGTATGCTGCTGACACTCCTGCTGTTCAGCGTAGCTCCTCTCCCAGGATGAGTAAGAGCTGGACTGTGAAAGCACTGCGCAGGGATTCTGTGCAATGGGCTGTGTGAGACAGCGCTTACCTTTCGGTCCTTTCCCGGGCGTGGGCTCTACAGTAGTCCTGCTCCATATTAGGATGACTCCGCCTGAGTCTCCAGTCAGGACATCTCCATTCCCCAAGAATGCTAAGCACTGCACAAATTTTGGTTTTTCATACTTCTGTGAAGCAACAGTGAGAATTTTCAGTACTCCTTCTGGGATGATGATTGTATGCTTACTCAATGATTTAAAAAATTTTATAATGTCCAGATCCTTACCCCAAAAATTCCCTGTTTTCTTGTTAGAGAATTGCCACTCCAAGTCCAGAAAAAAATATGAGATTTACCACATGTTATTATGGTATTTGCATCTGTTGGGTGGAACTCCACAGCCAAAACAACTTCATTTGTTGTCTGTGAAAAGAGAAAGCTTTAGGTGAATGTACGTCCTTACTGTTATCAAGAACCAACTATAGCGCCTGACAAAGACAGGCAAAAACTTGGATAACAGAGTTTTAGAATAAAGATTTAAATCTGATGTCCATATACTATTTTAGTTATTTATTTTATGAAAACTTTGTACTTAGAAGACATTGATATGAATTACAGGTTTATGTGAGAGAGCATGTCTATAATCCCAGCGCTCTGGAAGCTGAGGAGGGAAAATGGCTGCAAGTTTGAGGCCAGCCTGAACTACACAGCGAAACCCTGCCCCCTAAAAGCTTTAGATTATTTTAATTTCTTGCATATTCAGGAAAAGCACATTAAAACTACCAAAATGCCAGAGCAACATACACTTTCTTAAGGCCGGAAACAGAACTAACAGAGCATTGCTAAGAGGCCAAAAACAATACAGGTCTCCTGGGCCAGTTACCATCCCTCCCTCCACTCAAGTAACCATTATCATGAATTCTGTCAACATGGAGCTTTGCTGGTTTATTTAATGGAATCATAAGCAAAGTTGTCCTTCATGACTGGCTTGTTTTTTCAACATGACATTTGTGAGACACAGGTACACGCACATGTCATTTATTCACTCCAATTGCTGTGTAGTATTCCTTTGTGCAAAAGATCACATTATTGTTTTATCCACTCTTCTACTGACTGACATTAGGATAGTCTCCCCTTCCCACTAGGTTGAAATCAAGACCTCATGCGATCTAGGCAAATGCGCTATCTACCCAGCCAGCCCTTAAAAAAATTTTTTTTTTGGAGACAGGGTTTTGTTAAGCTGCCCGAGCTGGCCTTGAATTTGAAATCTTTCTGCCTCAACCTTCCCAGTAGCTGGGATTACAGCCATCTGTCACGAAAACTGTTCTGTTTTTTGGGGGTGAGGGGTATCCTAAATAGTACTGCTATTTGTCTTTTTGTAAACATGTATAGATTTCTGTTGGGTTTATACCCAGAAGAGGAACAAGATGGGTCAGCAAATATGCACACATTCAACTTAAGCAGATAATGCCAAAGGGTTTCCCCAAATGCCTGTACCAACTTACATGCCCAGCAGCAGTGTATGCCAATTCCAGTTACCCTACCGCCTTACCAACTTAGGCATTTTTATCTTTCTCATGTAAGATACTCCAGCAGAGGCACAACTGTAGCCCACTGTGGACTTAATTTGAATTTTCTTGATATTGGTGCCTAAGGCCAAATATCTTTTATATGTTTATTAATTATATGGATTCCCTATTTTGTGAAGTACTTTGTTTAAAAAAGTAGACTTTTTCTTACTAAAGTATAGAAGTTCTTTATATATTCTAAACAGTAGTGTTTTATTAGAAACATATTGTTCTTAATGTAAATCATTTCCCATTTATAGTTAGTATTTTACATGTGATGTTTAAGAAATCTGCTTATGAAGGTATCGTCTTATTTTTCTTCTACAAGTTTCACATTTTTATCTTTCAATCTCAGATCCATAATCCATCTAAACCTGGTTTTTGTAAATGCTGTGAGATTCAAGGTAACTTTTCTTCTAATGGGTATTTAATTAATGCAGCACTATTAATTAAAAACCTTAGTCTTTGCCCACTGCAACACCACTTTTGCCACAAATCAAAAGACTGATTTATATACTCCATTTCCAGCTTCTCTGTTCTCCTCCACTGATCTGTTCATCTGTCCTGTACCAGCATCTCTATGACATTAACAGATACTGGTCTCTCAGTTTAAGTCATCTATGTTTATTCTTTTTCCTCATGATAATCTTGAACACATTGTAATCCCAAACATATTCTGTGTATCACTTCTATAACAACTCATGTAGCCCATCCACCTCCTCCCACACTCCTACCTCACGCCCCATGCCTCCTCCTGAAAGAAAGAAAAAAAATCAAATGCAGGGGTTTCTGACTATGTTGATCATGCAGATCAATATTCAGGGAAGGGACATCTTTACAACATCGTATTCTCTCTACGCTGATGCAGTATCCCTCCAGTTATTAGACCTTCTTTAATTTCTGCCACTAAGGCACTGAAATTGTCTTATTTAATGTTAAAGAAACAAACTATAAAGTTACCTATGTTTCCCAAATATTTATGACTTAAGCAAGGACAGAGCCTATTTAGCGTAGAACGGAAAAAAAAGGTCAACAGACTGGGAGAAACTAAGATGAGACACTGGTCAGTGATGTAGCTCCTGAACCAAATCATTCCTAAGGCAAAAGACACTGGTCTTTACTTATCGCTTTCTCTTCCTCTCCAAACAGGAATCAGTAAATTGTCTATTTTGATTAAGTCAGCTTCAGTTTTGCAGTCCCCTGTACTGGAAAGTGTTATAATGTGGACATCTGGGAGGCAGTTTTAGAACACGAGTGTGAGTACCAAGGGAAAGGAGTCGTGGACGGTGCTGCGTTTCTCTCTGGGCAGTTAGGAAGAACAGTGTGTCAGTGTCTGTGAGGCTACGGGAGGTGATCACGACATGAACAGGTCACTTCTGACTTACGGTAGAAGGCATCTACATAAAGAGAGGCAGCAGGCAACTGGAAATAGGGTTTAAAGCTGTGAGGGTGGGCTGGAGATAACTGATGTGGGACTCAGCTGATGGATAGTAATGTTATCATGGAGGATATGGAGTAGAACTCTGAGCCACGCAAACTACGTCCTGGAAAGGGGATCGAGGAGTTGCCAGGAGAGAAACACCTGCAACTTTACCTCTTAGGTCTTACTACAAAAGATCCAAATTCATATAGTTAACTCTTTGGCACAATTTCTCTACATGTCAGTATTAAATTTTCTGAATGATGGTAACTAGCAGACAGTCTATGCTTTCACTTCTGTTTTTAAAATCGTATTTTTGGATAGCTTATATTCAAGTTAAGTCTACACCTTTAAAAATGTTAACTTGACACATGAAAATGTAAGAACTTCTTTTTTGACCATTTTTTAAATGACTGACGCCTATGCAAAACTAAACTGCTAAAGGATAAGGGCTGAAAAATGTATTGCTATTTAATGGCAGATCAAAAATGTCACATGCTTTTCAAAGCCATTCTAACTCTGAAAGCCATTCTAACTCTCTGAGGGAGAAGGTAATTTCTGACCCATATAATGCAACTGCAACACTTAACTTACATTCTCTTATAAGTTTTAGCCTGATTCACAAGGAAGGATCAATATTATTCTGCAGCAATTATAAATGCTATACCATTTTCTATAGTAACCCTACAAACATAATTTAAACCAAAAATGTTACTACCGTACAGCCCCGTCAGTTATGTCGCCATTTTCTGTATGTGTGACTGAAGAGGGGATCTACAGTCTTTGTGCTGGGCAGCATACCAAGCCCAAGATAAGGTCTAGCTAAGTTGGTAAACTGCCCAGTCTGGGTTTGAACTTGCCATCCTCCTTTGCCTCAGCCTCCTGGTTAGCCATATTCTTAAGGCTGGAATTAATTTTTCCCTAAATTTCTAAGCCTTTAAAGACTGAATGAAATTAAAATTTATGAAAGAAACAGCAGCCAAGTTCAGCCTTAATTTTGAGATTTTCCACTTTGATATTATCTGAAACTACTTTAAATTTCTTGATAAATCATAAACTTGATGAGTTCAGTCAGTGGGTTTAACTACTGCAACTTAAGGGTCTGCACAGAACATAGCTCCAGATAGCAATAAGCATCAAAAGTACTGTAAAAGCTAACAGTCCATTAAAATGATTTTGATTTACCTTTATTTCTGCTCCTTTTGACTTTTTCTGCCAGTCCCACACAGTAAGCATATGCTCGTTGGAATCATCAATAACACACAAATGAACTCCTGAGTCCTAGAGAAAAGGGACGAAAGGCATTTATAATTCCTGGTTATGTAACACTGGCTTTTATTTTAATTAATTAATCAATTACTATTTAAGGCTGGCTTCTAAAGGAAGGAACCCCTTGTTACTAAAAGCGGCAATAATAAGGTAATCCAAATTCTCGTAAGCTCACTGTTCTTTGAAACGTGAGGAACATGCTGGTTACTAATGCCACCTTTTCTTCAGAAATATTCTGTACCAATTCTTTAAAACATTTTTTTCTATTTTTAATTTCTCCCCCCTCTGGGTTGATTTCCACTTGCCATACAGTTACTTTTATTAGCACTAGCAATTAATTATTTTTGAAGATATCCTAGTCCCTCAGCATCTTTTGATTCCTTCTTGCTATTACCCACGATGTAAGTTGGAAGAAATATGTGTAACTTTTTTTCTTTGAGACAGGGTTTTGCTGTGTAGCTCAGGCTGGCCTTGAACTCACTATGTAGCCCAGTGTTCTTCCTGTCTCAGCCTCCCAAGTACAGGGATTATAGGAATGCACTGCCGTACAGGGCTCAAAATATGCATAATTTTATAAGTTTTCTCCTGATAGTAATTTGCTGGGATAAGGTAAAATTAATGGGTATTTTAAGGTTTACTAATTTCAGGTTTTGTAATATCTGGCACAGAATAACATGAATATGATAAATACAGAACTGAACCTTTTTCTATTTTTCTTGAACTATTTTCATTCACATAATTTAATACTCTCAGTTTAAGAAATAACTATAAACTATGGGTGATACTGAACATATTTTTCTAGTATCATCTGTGGTGAGAGAGGTACTGAGGAAGAGCAGAGCTTATGTCTCTTAGCTAGCATTGGAATGACCTCCTGTATTAGGAAAAGTCAGAGTCCATGCAACCCATGATATCTCAGTACTGTTAGCAATGGCACCAATAACATGAAAATAGTCTCTACTACAGAGAAAGAGAGAAAGTGGTAAAAACAGTTTCTGTCATTTCTTTTGTAAAATTCTTTTTTTTTCCTAATTCTTTGTTGGACCCTTCACAGTGTTTTTAATCTAGCAAAATTCCTATATTCACTCAAATTTATTTGTCCCTTCTTCTATGTCCTACAAAAACTCCCGTAATTCAGAATATAGCTGCTGACAGCTAAGAACTAAAGAGATACTATGAACACATAAATACATTCTGAAGCATAAATGAGGCCTAATAAAATCTAGGGTTTATATTTGAAATTTAAAAACACATATCCTAAAATATCTCTTGAATACTTCATGACAATAACTGCACACAAAATATAAAATGCTTAAATGAACAACACCTGGATTTACTCTATTTTTCTCCTAAAATAAAACTTCAAAGTTTAGATGAGATTGCTAGACAAAATTTTACCCACAGACATCAGTTCAGAATCAAGATAATTCGTGGTTTTAGGGAATACAAAGGTTTGTTTCCATTATTTCAATATGGCACCAAGAAAAGCTAATTTTTTTAATGTCTGAATTTTAATAAACTACATCTATAATTCAAACTGAAGTTAAACCCTATTATATTGGTTATTTCACTATGTACTATGATTTGTACATAATCCTCCAGCCATTTCCTCCTACTACACTGGAATCCTGTCTCAGGACAGAACAAAACTAAGCCTAAGTTTAATATCTTAATCCCATCTAAACCAAATTTAGCACCCAGGGTACAATGCTAACCATTTAGCAACAGTTAACATTAACAACAACTAATATTTGTTTATCAATGCACGCACACAGAACACAGATTAACTTCTTTTCTGCTTCTTTGATCAGCTGGCTTGCTTCTTTAAAAATTATTACTTACTGCTTTTGAAAAATCCAGGCATCCCACTCCACGCTCAAAAGTTCCAAGTCCAATAATCTGCAGTGTGGAGAGACTCACAGAATCCCACACTCTGACATGGGGTTGCAGAGGCTGCAAAAACATAAGGTAGTGGGAATAACTGGTATCCAGATGGATGCAAATACATTATACCGCTACCATAGGGAACTACCTGTCATCTTTAAAAAGTAATAGGGATAGATAAACATTTAGTAAGAAGTTAACTACCAGATTTAGACAATCCCCCCCCAAATCCTGAATAGGATCTTTTTTCTCATACTATGAATATAAGGAAATAACCAAGAATCATAATAATAGTAAATTGAGTATTTGCTATTCACATACTTCTTTATGTATGTCACACATGTATATTATCGAATCATTTAATCCTCATACTTTTATGAGCCACAGGCAGTACTATAATAACCATTTCATAAATGTGGAAACTGAAACAGAGATTTGACTAAGTTGATTTAATTATAGCTATTAAAGGGGAGGGTCAGAATTCTAATCCAGGCAAATTTGCTCTGAATACTTTGTGTTTTTTTCTTTTGTTTTGAGATGGGGTATTGCTATATTGCCTAGGCTGGTCTCAAACTTGTAAGTTGAAGTGGGTTGGATATTTTGCTATGAGTATTACATTAATTCCTGAGAAAATAGTAACTTAAATTACTGTCCAATAAGTTGCTAAAGTAAACAGTTCTTGAATATATGGAACTGGAAAAATCTTCAAAGCTATCCATTATAAACCTATCCCAGCTACTCCTTTTTCTTTAAAGAAACTGAACCCAGAGAGTGTCATGAGCATAGTCACACACAAGCTAAGCAGTCATCAGTATTCACTGTTGATCTTAGAAATAAGAGATCTGTTATATAAACCAATTTAACAAATGCTTTTAGTGATATCTCTTCTCCTTATATATAAAATCAAGGGGTCCTTTCAATTAAGGTTCACTGCAGTACCTCTAACAAACAGTGGTAAGATTCTGCATCAAGAAAAAAATCTAACAAGCATATACTGGTTCTCTCATTTTTATAAGTAGTTTATAATAGGGAGAATACCTATTATTTAGGGAAGTATTTTAGTAATGCGATTCTCTTTTGTCTTTTGAAACATTCGTACATTCTCATATACTTTTTTCCCTGCTTATACTAGAAACTCTTCAGTAGCTAAATTTCAAAAGAATTGTAAGTGGTGGATAGAAAATCACAATTCTAGTCTAACAGTGACATCACTACACATAGAATGCATAAAACTGTGCTGCTCACCCTTCCATCTTTATCCACTCCAGCTATCTGTCCAGTTGCGATCCTAATTTTGTCAGGATGTATAGCAAGGCTAAAAGGCAGTATTAACAATAATTTTAAAAATACAGGAAATAAGAAATAGCAGAAATGTACCCTTGTATCAACATTTTTTTCCAAACAATTTTTAGCCATAAAACTCACTCTGACCTATTTTTTCTTTAGAAAAATAAACATCAATTATCCAAAGATTTCTAAGTTTTCAAGTATACATTTTTGCTAAGCTGCACAAATTATTAGAACATTATCCACAGCTTGGCATGGTAACAAATGAAACTATTTTCATTTGTTCACCTTCCTTTCTAGTCTAGGTACACAGGCATACGTATTTACACAGATGTATGAAAGAGGCAGTACTGCATGGTGCAATTTTAATCTGTTAAAATATAAACATTTTAAAATTTTGGTGCATAATCTTTATACGCATTACTGACTCCACAATTCTGTTATCTTTGAGACCATTTTTACTTTTCTACAAAAATAAAAAGTAGTAAACATCTTTAAATATAACAACATCAACCTTTTACTTAGTTCTTTAAACTCTTTAAAGTCTTATTTGGGAAAAAGAATTTTTAATTAAAAGTGGAAAACAGTGTTAACAAAGGTACTTAAATTGATTCTCGTACACATACAATTGATTTAGCAAAATGTTTACAAAAATGTCCTCTTGTTCATATCTAGAATCTTTTTATCTTGTAAGCAGGGCATAGACTCAACTGAAACCTAAGGTTTTTGTTTCTTCATACATACTGCTTATTATTGTTAGAAGAATAGTGTTTTTTTTTTTTTTTTTTTTTTTTGGTTACCAGGAATTGAGCTCAGGTCCTTGCGCTTGCCAGGCAGGCGCTTGTACTGCTGAGCTATATCCCTGGCCCTAGAAGAACAGTGTGAATTTAAATTTTTGTTTTTTTTGTCCCCCGCCCCCCGCACGGTACCGGAAATCGAACTCATGACCTTGCGCTTGCCAGGCAGGTGCTGTGCCGCTGAGCTAAATCCCCAGCCCCTAGTGTGAATTTAAATTTTAATGATAAAAAATGTTCCCCAAGTTTCCATGGCTTCCCTGTATCAAGTTTCATTTTTTAAAATGTTTCAATAATTTGTTTTGTGTAAAGTGTATATCTTGTTTTCACTTCTTTGATTACTAAGGACACTACAATTTATGAATGTTTAATTCTCTTTCTTGTGTAGTTTATATTATGTATTCCAATCAACTACATTAACAGTAACTAAAAATCAAACACAGTAACATCGTGACATTTAATTACATCTCTCAAATTTTCAAATAAAATTTACGGATTCAGTAGGCAGTACATCTGCAGGGTTTAAATATCAAAAGCTATAAAGTGGTAGAACATATGCACATTCTCCTGCTCTTTAACAGTTGTACTTAGAAGTGTATTTTAGGGGCCTTTCCATATTAATGTGTACAGTATTTTCTCATTCTCCTTTATAACTGCATGGTAACCTACACTACAACCTCCTTAGTCTGCGACTGAAAGATAAGCTGTTTCTAACCTTTACTATCTCAACATTTTTCTTCTTTTCAAAATGTATTTACATAATACCCATAATATGTTTACATTCTGAGCTTTCCAAGAAATTTTTAATACTACCCAAATTCAAAAAAATACGCAATGACGGCACAAAGAACAAAAGTGACAAATGTTAAATGATACCAACCATTTCACACAGTCTGTATGACCCAAGTAATGTCGCTGCGTTCTTTCTTCATAATTAAATAGTACTACTACTGATGCAATGAAATAAACTATCTCCCCCGTGGGAAGAAGGTAAACGTTAGCTCGACAGTCCTTCCCTCGATAACCGTATCTTAAAAGATAAAGAGTCAAGGCTTCTAAAAATACAAAATGTAAGGTACTGAACTAACAATGTGTTCAAGGGAGTTTAGGGAATCAAGAAGGTAAAATAAAAAGAAGACTGGACTACAACTAGAAAAGTCACACTCTGCCATTATTTTTGCACAATCTGAGTCATTTACTATAATGTACTGAGTTCCTAGATGTATCAGACACAATGCTGAACACAGTTCTTTAAAAAATAAAAATAAAAATATAAATGGGAAGTGTCTTGCTGTGTAGTCCAGCATGGCCTTGAACTTATCTTCCTGCCTCAGCCTCCTGAGTGCTGTGTGACAGGTATGTGTTACCATGCTCTGCTAAACATAGTTTTAAACAAAGCAAACATGGGGCCTGTGTCTTTGGAACTTAATCTGGGAAACAAAAATAATCAACAAATATAAAATTATAAACATGGAAAGAAAAATTAGGGGATGTCAGGAGAAAACATAAATGGAAGATCTATTATACACAGAGACACAGGAGGGAGCAAAAGAAGGATCATGCGAAAAAGTAACATTTATGCAGAACCTAAAATGATGAGTATGGGGTAGTCAGGCAAAGTACGGTAAGCAGAGAATCTGTCAAAAAAGTAGTTGTAACAAAAAGAATTTGAGGGCTTTCAAGGGGAGGTGTAGGAGAATGGAAACACAGAGCGAAGTTCATATTAGCTCTTTTCTGGTTACCGAGTTTCTCAGAGGTGCTAAGAGATGTGAGGATTTCTAGTAAAAGGAGGAAAGCTCTGTTTTAAACTGTCATTTTAAAGAAAACAACTGGTAGAGAATTTTGGAATAAAATCAACCTTGTTCATTTACTCTGTTAATAAAATGTTTCACACCATACATAGTTCCACAGGTTGCAAAATGCTTACCCAATGTTTTCTTATTAAATTCTTACCACAGCCTCGTGAGGAAGGGATAATTCACCCTTTCATCAATGAAGAAAATCAAAGTTCACAGAGTAAGTGGCAGAGTCAGAACTCAAACATGAGCGGGGCGTGGTGGCGCACTCCTGTAATCTCAGCACTTGGGAAGCTCAGGCAGGAGGACTGTCCCACGTTCAAAGCCAGCCTGGGCTACATAATGAGTTCAAGGCCATGCTGAATACATAGCAAGAACGTCTCAAAAAACCAAACCAAACCAAACCACCTCAAATACAAGTGCTGCAATTCTAGTTCATGCCTTTTCTACCACATCACCAGTACCTGCTGCAAACTGATGGAATACTGCTTCCGCTGTCTGAATTAATTTATGGCTTTAAATTACTAATAGCAAAATACACACAATATGTGGAAGAATTAGCAATGATGTTTCCTTTTTAATTTCCCAAGTGGTTATTATGTTCATTATATTTACTTTTGGATATAAGGACAACTTAATAGATTAGGGAAGCTAATTTTTCTTAAACTAGAGATAAAGCCAGTAAATGTGCTATCACGGTGGAAAAGGATACACCCACTCCAGTTTGAGCTTCTCGGGAGGCAGTTCCGTTCTGATGTCATCATAGTTGTCAACATCAGAAGGAATGAACATTGTAATTGGCCGACCTCGCATAAACATTTTAATATAGTCTCCTTCTGTTGGAACACAAGACAAAAATTAGGTCACATACATTTTCTATACAGTAGAAAAGTCCATCATTAATGTGATAAAATAAAAACAAGACAAAATAGCTACTTCAAAGTTTCATGCTCATTATATGTGGTTGTTTTTGTTATGTATTACACAGCACATAGTGAACAAAGTGATACTGGTAAAGACCTAGTCCAAACATTGGAGGGGGGAAAAACAAATCACTGGCATTTTCCTTAATTATAAATAATAATTTTTGTAATTAAAATATAATTGATCAAAACTGACACATTTTTTTCAAGAAGGCCAGAAAGGTAGAAGTAAAAAAATTCAAAATAAAATAATCTGGTGATGTAAGTCTCTGTAACTGTTGACAGAGTAAATTACTTCAACAGACAACAAGCATGCTTACCACATTACTTGCTCAACCTATAGATGTTTATGTGTTTTTATGATCAGCATATAAAAATATCACCTCACAAACTAAAAAGCTTCCACACAGCAAAAGAAACAATCAATACAGTAAAAAGGTAACCTAGAGAATAGCAGAAAGTATTTCCAAACTATGTCTCTAGGAAAGGGTTAATCTTCCATACATAAGGAATGCCTACAACTCAACAGTTAAAACTGGTAACTGATTTTGCAATGGGTTAAGTACTTGGATATGTATTTTTACAAAGAATACATTAAAATGGCCAAAAGGTAGCTGTAAAAATGTTCAACATCAGTTCAACACCAGGGAAGTGCAAATCAAAACCACAACGAAGTATCATTTCACACCTGTCAGAATAGTGATTATCAGAAAAGCAAAAAACAAGTGTTGCTAAGGATCTGGAGAAACTTCAACTCTTGCACACTGCTGGGAGGAATGCAAAATGGTGTTGTCACTATGGAAAACAGGATGGAAGTTCTTCAAAAAAAAAAAAAAAAAAAAAATAGAACTACCATATCATCTAGCAATCCCACACTACTGGGTACTTTCCAAAAAATCAGAATCTCTTTTAATTGATGTGCATTAGTAATATAGAATAATGAGATCATCTTGGTATACTTTTCACACATATAACATATTTTGATTATTTTCCTCTCCATTAGCCCCCTCATCCGCTCCCCAACCTCTAAAAGCTTACTTCCTAGCTTCTGTCATCTCTCCTCTATTACTTATAAAATCAGAATCTTTAAGAGATAGTCACACTCTCATGTTCACAGCAGCACTGTAGCCAACATAAGGAAATAACTAATTGTCAACTGACAGAAGAATGGACAAAGAAAATGTGATACATACACATAACGGAACATAATTTGGCCTTTAAAAAGCAGGAAATTTCACAACATATAACAATATTGATGAATCCTAAAGACATTTTGCTAACTGAAATAAGCTAGTCACAAAAAGATACTGCAGGATTCTACTTATATGAAGTATCTAAATAGTCAAACTCATAGAACTGGAGTTAAATGCTGGTTACCAGGGACTAAGGGAAGAGGGAAATAAAATTCTGAACCGACAGGTATAAAGTCTCAGTCAAGCAAAATAAATCTCATACAACTACAGTTAAAAATAATGTATCATACACTTAAAATGTCTGTTAAGAAGTACTGCACATCTCATGTTTAAGTGTTCTTACCACATTAAAAGCCAAAAACTTGATCTCAGAATATAGCACTAGGAAAGGACGCCAACACTTTCAAAAGTCAGAATGAGGAGGGACTAAGTGGTAGGTTATACAGGAAGGAGGCAAAGAGGGCTGACTTCTCTCCCTTCACATCTGTGTCTATAATTAATCTTGTGTCCACTCTACACAATCAAATTCAATCCAATACACTGACATTTTCAAGGTTGTGCTAGGAAAAAAATATAGAAAAAGGTAGTGCTAGCATTTTTTTCTCTTGCCATCCTGGGAATAGACTCCAAGGCTTCATATATGGTAGACAAGCATTCTACCACTGCACTAAACCCGCAGCCCTAAAAAAGTTATCTTGTTAGCAGCACAGGTTCTAAGACATTTTTTATTTATATAAACCACCAATCATTCAATAAGATCTTCAATAGTCTAAAACTATTTTTTAAAACTCTAGAATAAAACCAGTATTATACATAGCATACAAAAGACAGTTCTCAAACAAATGCGTTTCTTATTCCTTTAAAAGTTAAAAGAAACACAACCCATTCATTCCTGCCCCTAGCATTCCAATGACAGGATACAGATTGATTATGTAAATGCTGATGGTTAAAAAAGACCCTAAAAGAGAAAGAACGGGACTGAGTACAAAGGCATAGGAAGTGTCTTGCCAACTTGTCTGACACATGAAAACAGGAGTGAATCAGACTGAAAATGTGATCAGCAACCAGAGGCCAACATACTCCTAAAATTTCTAACAATGACCTGAGCTGAAAAGAAGAATGCATCATCTAGTAATTCACAATTCAGTAATTTATGTAAGGCAAAGCATAGAAGAAAAGAGAAATTATTTGCTGAATGTCTACAAGTACTTCTTAAAGAGTCAGATTAAAAAGTTATGCTTGTTATGGGTGAGAAGTTCAAGCTATTTTTATTATTACAGTGGGCTCAGCCTCAGGGTTTGATCTAAGAGCAGGCTAAGACCTCCTACACTATGGTCTGCATGCCGCGTGATGGATGTCTTTATTACCTCTGAATCTAAAGAGTGGGCTCTGCTTCCTGATGATTTTTAGCATAGCTGGCCTTTGATGGCAACTAAATGATTGCTAGCTGCAAATACTTTCCTTCTGCAATCGTTCTTATCTGTATGTCCGTCTTTTACTCCAAGTTTACTCTCTTATAGGTGCTGATTTGTTACATAATTTCCTTTCCAGTTGTTTTTTTTTTTTTTTTTTTTAAAGATTATACTTTTTTGAAGTTTCTTTGAGATTTCCCCCAGGATCTCTGATCGGAGGTGTGAGCTGAGGGTAGGAGGAAGGACATACTTCATGTACTATCTCAGGAAAGCAGCAACTCGTCAATTCCATAAGGGAAGTGGGTCCAGTTTACAGACCACCCCTTTCCTTTGTACTGGGGGTTGAACCCGGGGTCTTGTATATTCTAGGCAAGAGCTTCACCACTTGAGCTGCACTCTCAAGCTGCACTTGAGCCCTTTATTTCATTTTTTTTATTCTGTGACCACATCTTGCTAAATAAATTGCCCAGGTTGGCCTCAAACTCAAGACACTCTTGTCTCATCTTCCCGAGTAGCTGCAGTTATAGGCATGTGCCACCATGTCCAGCTATCTTTTCATTTTTCAAGAAAAACTGAAGATCTATAATTTATTGTAAAATCTCCCAATTTTATAATAATATTTACTCCTTTGACAAAACAGGGAAAGTAGTGTGAAAACATATCTTTTGGCCTGCATACTGCACACAGGTCACCAGTTCACAACCTCCTCTTTTAGAAGACAGTCTTTATTGTGGCATTAGGTAAAAACACACAGCCATTGTCTTTCTCATTACAAATTATTTCTTGACAACTGAGGCTTCTTAATCTTATAGTCAAAGGACTTAGAGCCAGGATGTTTGTATTACTCCAAAAGTACTTTCTGACTGTGCTAACTGTAAACTGCCAGGAAGTTCAAAGGAAAAGGATGACCAAGAGATTAGTCAAGGTAAAATTTGAGATTAATAATATTAATACAAAGTGTTGTGGCTCAGAAAAATGACGAGGGAAATAAATCATTAAACTACCTACCTCATGACAGTAACTAGTAAAGGGCTATTATATTCAATAATGAAGCTGCTGTTTAAATGTCATTACTCTTATCTCTTTCCGTGACATGTTAAACATTTCTAAGATTGAGAGGAAGTGAGGAGAACATAAGCTCTGTCTTACAGACCTTGTTTTGAATCTCAGTTTTAGTACTTACTAGCGTTTATGTTCAAAATAAATATCCTGAATTTAATCTGATCAGTGATAAAGTAGTTCATAATTACAAAAAAATTCTATGGGGTAGTGTTGATTTTAAAATCTACTAGTTCATTTCTCTAGACACATGTAATGATGAAAATGAAAGAAAACTTAAGAGTTTACCTAGTCCAACCTCTCTTCAAAAAAGGGGAAGCCAACGTAGGACAGTTAAATAAATTTTTAGTTTGGGTTCCAAAATTTTCTTCATTATTTAGGACTTTAGAAACATTTCACTATAAAACTGTCTTGTAGACCTGCACTGCCCAAAATGATAGCCACTGGTTACTGAAAACCAGCGATGTGGTAACTGAACTGAGATACCCTGGGAGTGTGAAATGCACACCAGATTTTGAAGACCTCATACAAAGAAAGAGTAAAAATATCTTTTTAGTAATGCTTTAATAGTATAAAGACCATCAAAATGATAATATTTTGGCCATCTGTATTAAATTTATCTAACTCAATCTCTATTTTGTTCTTTTACTTTCTAAATTTTGGCTAGTAGAAAAATTTAAATGACATTTATGCTATACTTTGTCCTTCTAATGGACAGAGCTGTTTGGACAGTTGTGAAATCCTCAGGCTAGTTTGGAGAAGCCCAGTGATTTACAGCGTAGCTTACTTATAACCCAAATAGTCCTGGCATGAGTTCTGGGTCCCAACAGCTAGAAACCAGGTCATACCACAGAAGAAAATGGTTTCTCCTCTATTATCCCCGGGAACAGTGAATGTTGAGCCAATATTTTATGCCTCACTCTCCTTACTGCATTCTTCTTGCCCACACCTTCTAAAGCCTTCCTTTCAGTCTCGTCAAGTTTTGTGCTTCTAATTTAGTCTCTTCTGCTTATTGCTCTAAACTGCAAAATCATCCTATTCTCTAGTCCAAACTCCCATCCTTTTAGAAATGTTATCTCAAATGTTCTGAGCAAAGGAGTATTCAAATAATTCGTGCTCATATACAAGTAACTGATTAAAACTTTTATATTAAAAGATGCTTATCAATGTGTATTACTCTTTCACAGATTGTAACAAACTGAAAAGAAAAATTCAGTCAGAGTGCAGAAGGAAGATGGCACTGGGCACA